CTTCTTTGACTCTGTTTTCAAGTTTGAATTTCTCTTCAGCATTATCTTCCTAAATCCTAGAACCAACATTGTATGTCCTGATCATTGAATGTATCTTACCTTTTATTTACAGCGATAAAAAGATGCTGTGGATGAACCCAGGAGAAGGGAAGTACATCTGGTGTGACTATGGCCAACCAGTATGTCCATACAGGGGTGTGGTTACTTGTGATAATGAGATCTATGGCTTGGCTACAGATCCAGACAGCATCTATATGTGTAAATACAACCATGTTGAGAACTAGTGGGACAAAAGTCTACCGTGTGCAAAGGATGTGAAAAACCGGGACTTCCATACCGGGATATAATAACCACCTGATGGAAGTCGATGGACATCTTTTTTACCTTGATGAAGCTCCAGAGGTGGTATTGAAGAAATACAACCAGCATAAGAATGAGTGGCAAAAACTGTTCAACACCTGATTATGGTGAGTTTGACTCCTTCTTTGCAGCACATCTACCTCTTCACAGTAGCAGAAATGCATTGGTACGACCCAAGGGAAGACCAGTGGTCCAAGAAAGCCCTGTCAGTCTACGGCCTTAATGAGGAACTATTCTTCGGTATGGCAGTTGCCATGGGAACAGAGATCTTTTTGGATGGATCCTGACCACTCCAACATGTTGGTGTATGATACAGAAGCAGACAGCTGGTCTGAACATCCAGTCCCAAGCTTTCAGGAGACTGAGAATAATCCAGACATATACGTTGAAGATGGAGCTTTCTTTGTACTCCAAAACAGGAAGCTGCATGCAATAGTGGATTATGATTGCCCAAAATGGGCCAACAAGCTAGAGCTACTTCAAGAGGTTTTCGTGTATGACAGGCCTGAAGGTGTTTGGAGAGAGTCATCTGAACTGCCTTTTGGGCGGCAGTGTGTGTACAAGTGTACAGACGTCGTGGCTCGTATGTACCTACCATATCTGAACACCAGCCATGCAGACACACAGGATGCAGCAAACCCAGAGGGACCAAGTGGAGAATAGTTTTGGTAGTGTACAACCCATCTAGCCTGGTTACCAAACCTATTATAGCTCCAGAGTCCTACAGCCTCTCCGCAGATAGCTGTAAGACTGGGGAGCTATAATAGGTTTGGTAACCAGGCTACAATCCATCAGAGAATGTGTTGGAACATGCCAGAATGTCATGAGACTTTGATGACTTGTCTGAGTTGATTTTATAATTCATTTCCATGAATTAGAGAATAGTCAGTTGAGTTGATGGTGGTGTAGACATGCTGAAAATGGGGGAGGCACGCACCCCGGCCGCCTATATACAGCGGGTACAGGAGAAGAGGGAAAGGCTCGTGGGACAGTGTCAGGAGGCAGAGAAATACCTGAACTACCGGAACCTCCCTGCACATGGTATGTGCAGTGTATTGTCCCCCATCCGTGAATAGTTTTGTCAGGTTGGAAAGACACCCAGTAAAGAGACCCTTTTTCCACCCCAAAATTGGACTGGACTGCTTTTTCCGCCAATCGGACTGGACTCCTTTTTCCATTAACCCGAGCTCATAGTGGACGGAAGTGTTGTCCTGAAGCTAAACATTGTCATTGTCTCACTTCTTTCAGTGTCGCAGAATGATGATGACAAGGTCAAGAAGACGTAAAATCCTCACGAATTTCCTAAGACACTGTGATGAGGAAAGGATCCTCACCTTCCAGGTACAGCACAATATGATTCTAACAAGCTAATCTACATGTTTTGTGTTTTCTTGCCACCCATGGCCATGCATGTTCATTCTTGTCTATTATTTTTACTTATTTATTCAGAATTGTAACATGACAATGCAAAGTGTTCACTAGGCAGCAATTATGCTGATATATATAAGCGTGCACACCTAACACATACCTGGACATATGACATAGGAACAACAATAAATAGTTAGAACAAGATGTATACACAAATGACATTATCTAATAAATTACACCTGCAATTAAAATCAATTTTATAACTGTACAGCAATTGAATGTTTAGTGTGGCTTAGCTGGAAGAGGTACAGAATCTGGTACAAATTTGGCAATGACCATGTGGAGTGCATCTGTATTTATGTCAAAGTATGGAGCAGGAGAGATGTGGTTTAGATGTTAAATGTATATGATCTGTTGTTGGACTGGAGAATGAAGACCTTGCATGTTGTTGTTGTCCTTGTTTAGAGTCTATTTTTCTTGCTAGACGTAGTCGCTAGGTGCTTTTCTCTTCGTGGTGCGTTGATGGTTTTGTCCTCACTGGTGCTTTTGCTCTGGTACTTCGCGCAGGCGTATGATGGCTGTTGGCCCTTAGTATTCATTTGAGAACCGTAACGTGGTTTCAATGTATTTTGAAAGGGCTAAATACATGTCTCTGTTCTCTTCGTCGTTTAAGTCCTCCCTCATTCCTGCAAGGGTTACGAGGTCCACCACTCTTGTTTCTTTGCTGGTACCATATGTTTCATACACAATGTCGATTTCGTTCATGAGTACAATGTCTTTGTTTGTCGTATTTACCGCTGCTGAGTGGTGTATGTAGTGGTCTATTGTTTCCCTCACTCCACATGTTCATGTTGCCACCATTTCAGGAGTGTATACCAGGAGCCATGATGGAGCACTGTGTGAAAATCGGGGAGGGCGTGTTCGGGGAAGTCTTCCAGTCCAGGAGAGATGATGGCAGTTCAGTAGTACTCAAGGTGGGAAACATAAATATTGCACTTATGATAGCTAGATTTTTGCAGGAAATCAATGAAGTCAGCAGTGATTGTGATTGCATCTAACACACTTATAATTTGCTGATCTCTAGCCAAAAATAGAATTCACTCCATACATATGTTTGTGTAACACCAAGTCGATTTTTTTGTTTTTTTTTTACATTAAAAGAAAATTCTAAACTAGAAAATCAAAATGAAAAGAGTCAAATCCGTGCACTGTTTTATTATCTGACCCTCTTCTATTCCCTAGATCATTCCC